TAGGTATGATAAATAAAAAAATTTATATTTTTGTGTCTTCAAAATGAAAAATTAAACATTTAACACGATGACAAAAAAAAAACACATTTAAACACTTTAAATGTTACCATTGCTTCATGTAAAATTTGTCAAAACGAATCTTAATTTGAAATGGAAAGATAATATTAACAAAACCAATATAAAATAATGAAATTTTTGGAAAAATACTATTTTTCAAATGCCAATTTTTAAAATGAAACAAAAATACACTATAAGGAAGGTGACCAAACAAAAACAAAATTTTGTTACTATTATAATATTATTCATTTGTTTACTATATCAAAATTAAAAAGGATATACTGAAAAGGTAAATGAATGTTAAAGATATATATAAACATCATTAAAAAAAAGAATTATATAAACATCTTTGAAGTTTGAACTATGGAAATGTATATTAATTTTTCTATAAACCGGATTATAGTCAGGCCCAACATCTTTTCAAAGTTTAATGGTCATATATTAAGAGCATCTTTATTGGTGACACCCTAAAGGTGTCATCCAATATTAAAATATTAAAATTTGAGTAAAAGTAAAAAAGAGAGTGTTTTTTTGTTAAAAAAGTGTGGTGTATTGAAATATAAAATTAATAAAATTTGAGTAAAAAGAGGAGATAGAAAGAAACTTTGGAGAGAGGGTGTCTATAGGGAAAGTGTTTTGACACTTTTGGAGAGTGTTTTTTAGTGGGTTTTGTTGTGTTTAAATATAAAATTAATAAAAATTGAGTAAAAAGATGAAAAAGAAAGTATAAAGTTGAGTAAAAGGAAGAAAAAGTATGTTTTTTAATATTTTAATATTGGATGACATTCTTAGGGTGTCACCAATAAAGATGCTCTAAGTGTCACTTCTTGTGAATGTCGTAAGAAGTCCATAAATAGTTCGACTATTATTAAACGATTGGCTAAAAAAGGTCTTCAGCTAGAAATGATGTATTTTTTATATTTTCTTTTTCATTTCACAAATATCAAGAGAGAAAAAGTTCATATGATATATATTTTCTGAATATTTTTATTATAATTTCTTTATTATAATTATAAAAAAAAAATTATAATTATGAAAAAGTTGTCATAATTTCTTTTTTTTTGTGTCTCCCACTTTCTGCTATGCTTTTGCTACTTCAGTTGAAGATTTGGCACCATTTTCTTTCTCCACTAATCACATCATAGTACTCATTTTAGTTTTGTCGTTAAAAAGTCGTAATATTCTCTCTTTTTCTCGTTAATACGCATTACTTGTTCGTAACTCATAAGTTTGGTAATTGCATATTTTGTTTGTTTTTTAAACAACCAAACATCTGATTGTAACTAAAGTTTGTTACATATACTAGTTTAGTTAATATCTGATGATATTAAAAACAGAAATTCAAATTTATATCAATCACTCACTGATAGAAAAAAAAAAGACTAAAATGAGTTTTTGGTTATAGAGTAGAAATTTGACATAGATATAAAGATATATTCAAAACACAAGCACTAACGCAAAGAAAACAATCAAGATTTGAAATAGTTTGGTAAAAGAAAGCATGAGCACAAAATCGAATAATTATGGGAATGTGTTGAATGTGGAAATGTGGTAATCAACACTATTGCACACAGAAATGATGCAGTCAAGTGGCAAACAAGCGGCGCTCTTAGTTTGGTTTGAAAAGAGACATTGATTTTGGACTCTTGGAGTGTTTCAAGATACATTTCACCAAAATGATTTATGTTTAAACATTTTAGTTAAACAATAGTGGCCTACCAAAAATGTATTTTCTTATTATTTACATTCGGAGGGAAACAAAAACATGTTTAATCGTTTTCCTTCTTACTTTCATAATTTTTATCTAATTTAACGAAAATGATCAATGAATTATTCAAAAGATGTTAATGAATTCTTTAAAAGAAAAAAAATAGAATTTACAACTTTTACTCGAATGATCATATAAAGAATATGAAAATTTGTTTAAAATTGTTGTTATGTGAAATTGTAAATAGTCAAAGAGATCATAAAAGCAGTAGTAATAATACAAAATTATTGATATGTACATCTATTTGATTATAAGTTGTAAGTTAATTTCAGTAATCTTGTTTGATGAACTCCCCCCCCCCCCAAGTATAAACTTACTTCACTAATTATGTTATGACTTGAGATCAACTTTAATTTTTATTTTAAAGCAGATGCATGAAGCATGATCACATCAGTTAACCAATAATTCGTCATCCCTAATTCCCTATTGCATTGAAATATACACATAACAAAAAAGAAAAGAAAATTTACGGTCGTCGTTGAGAAAATCAACGAAACAACCTTCGTTTAATATTGACTCTGAAAATCTCTAACAATACACTCAAATCAATTTTTCTTTTTTAATTGTGTAATGATTTCTTCTCTTGATTCGTCGTACACACTCTTTCACTACTCAACCATTTTTTCTTTCGTCCCAAATCCGTAAAGATACTTTCTTCATTTTATTGTCTATAAGCTGGTATTGTTTGTTAACTTCTTTGCTTTGATCTTTTGTTATTTACCAAATCATAATCCCCAATATTTCTTGTTCTTTGAGTTCCTCAATTAACTGCCTAATTGTTCTCATGGTACAAATATCAGAAATCACTTGGGCGTTTATTATTAGTGTACATGTTTGCGCCAACTATAATGGCTTTCTGTTTACCAAACATATCACTTACCAAGTTATTAGCTTTAACTAAATCCCATCTTTTGGGATGAAGCAATATCAAATTCCAAAACATAAAACATAAATTCTATTAACATGCACTTGGATTATTATTGAAACTTGAAACACAAAGGCCCATTACGAGCCCAACCAAAAGGTTCATAAAAACAACAAAATAAAAGAAAACAGAGAATGAAACATAACATCGATAGAGAGAATTAGAGATGAGTCTTTTTTGCAGACATCACCTCCCCAAGTGCATGGAGTTTACAACATCTCAGAAGCTTCCACCACGAAGACGCAGAACCAAATGAAGGGTCGATTCCTTCTGGATATTGTAATCCGCAAGAGTCCGACCATCCTCAAGCTGTTTACCAGCGAAGATGAGTCTCTGTTGGTCCGGAGGGATCCCTTCCTTGTCCTGAATCTTAGCCTTCACATTGTCAATTGTGTCTGAACTCTCAACCTCCAAGGTAATAGTCTTTCCTGTCAAAGTCTTCACAAAGATTTGCATACCACCACGAAGACGCAACACAAGGTGAAGGGTTGATTCCTTCTGGATATTGTAATCAGCGAGTGTCCTTCCATCTTCGAGCTGCTTACCGGCAAAGATAAGTCTCTGCTGGTCCGGTGGGATCCCTTCTTTGTCCTGAATTTTTGCCTTGACGTTATCGATTGTGTCTGAACTCTCCACCTCAAGAGTAATGGTCTTTCCGGTAAGTGTCTTCACAAAGATCTGCATACCACCACGAAGACGAAGCACAAGATGGAGTGTAGACTCCTTCTGGATGTTGTAGTCAGCGAGTGTGCGTCCATCCTCTAGCTGCTTACCGGCAAAGATAAGCCTCTGCTGATCCGGTGGGATTCCCTCTTTGTCCTGGATCTTAGCCTTGACATTATCGATAGTGTCTGAGCTCTCAACCTCAAGAGTAATGGTCTTTCCAGTGAGGGTCTTCACAAAGATCTGCATACCACCTCTGAGACGAAGCACCAAGTGGAGGGTTGACTCCTTCTGAATATTGTAATCAGCAAGAGTCCTTCCGTCCTCAAGCTGCTTACCGGCGAAGATGAGTCTTTGCTGGTCCGGAGGAATTCCCTCCTTATCCTGGATCTTTGCCTTGACGTTGTCAATAGTGTCTGAGCTCTCCACCTCAAGAGTAATGGTTTTACCGGTGAGGGTCTTGACAAAGATCTGCATACCACCACGAAGACGCAGGACAAGGTGAAGAGTAGATTCCTTCTGTATGTTGTAGTCGGCTAGAGTCCTTCCGTCTTCAAGCTGCTTACCGGCAAAGATGAGCCTCTGCTGATCCGGAGGAATACCTTCCTTGTCCTGGATTTTAGCCTTGACGTTGTCAATAGTATCGGAGCTTTCGACTTCGAGGGTAATGGTCTTGCCGGTCAAAGTCTTGACAAAGATCTGCATACCTCCTCTCAATCGGAGAACCAAGTGCAAAGTAGATTCCTTCTGGATATTGTAATCAGCAAGAGTCCTTCCGTCTTCTAGCTGCTTACCGGCGAAGATAAGTCTTTGCTGATCCGGAGGAATTCCTTCCTTGTCCTGGATCTTTGCCTTAACATTGTCGATGGTGTCAGAGCTCTCGACCTCGAGAGTTATGGTCTTGCCAGTGAGAGTTTTCACGAATATTTGCATCTGGAAAAAACAAAGCAGCAAAAGATCGAGACCCAAAATTAGATCCCTAATAAGAAATCAAACGCAATACAAGTATCCGATCAAAACACACAGCGAAGATAACAGATCGTCCACGAAAAACCCTAATTTCTTTTGAGAATCGCACAATTAAACAAACAATTGAGCA